CCTGTCCATATTAATATTGCCACAACCTGGTCGTTTTTTGGCCTGTAGATTAGTCGGGTTTTGCCAGGGGTTCTCTAAAGAGTACAGGTGGGGGACTCGATCGTTCGACGTTACAATTGATGAAAGTTTGTTTGTCCTTAAAACTGTAGATTAATTTATAATGCAATTGGAAAAATCAACTTTTTTAAAGGTGATTAACAAGACAAGTCCTAAAAACTTCCGTCCTGATGTAGACGACGTTATTTTTGTGGTTAATCGATGGAGAAAACAAGTATAATGCGTCAGAATATGAAACAAAGTTCATGGATGAATATATCAGAATACTCAAAAATAAAAACATCACCATTGTTTGCTTGATTACTGAAAATGAAGACGAAATCAAAAGTATGAGACCATATGTTGAGCGTTGGTCATTACCAGAGCTTATATTTGAATCAAAGTTGGATGAGCTGGACAAAGTTGTGAATAAAATAGTCGATGCTTCGTGCGCGTCGCCATGTAGGTGAAATTAGTTTGGGATAAATAAAGATCAGTTTGATGAAATAATATTCCGTAGAAGAGCAAAGGGAGTTCTCTTCCCCCCGTTCTTCGGATAAATGAGACATAATGAAATGACAAGTTAATAATATAAACCAACTTGCTCAAAATTGTATATTCACTTTTACTATCCAAGTGTACTGAAACTCAGCTTAATTATTTCTGTTTCTCCAGGAAAATGTGAATGTAAAGATGGCCGCACTAGTGAATTTACCACATATGCCAAACCTAATGGATACGTAGGGTTTGTCCATTGGACAGTCCCAGACGTTACGTGCTCTGATTATGAAAGAGGACAGGTTGATCCACCCCACCTGGTGCCAGCTCTCCAGCGAATTTCTCGCTGGGCAAGCACGTGATTACCTATCATTACTCCGTACAAACGCAACGGCACGATTGTTGAATTTAAATGTTTCGTTAATTTGAATATCGTCCGTAAGTGATTGAGTCGTGCATTTTGTAATTCATACTGAATTCGTGCGAAATTTTCATTAATATTATAAATTGCACTTGGCCCTACATGTCTCATGGGCGTGGGGTGATATAAATGACAACCCTCAATAATTGTCAGTTTTAAAAAGTTGCTAAAAACGGGACGAGGATTATAAGTTCAGGACGTTTAAATGACGAAGTTGAATTGCTTATCACAATAATTTTGACTATATTTCTCCCATTTAGGCTGTCAATGTCCCTGCCGCGAACAGTTTACTCACAAATTGTATGGCCGGGTCTGACAGAAACTTCAGTTAGTTGGTCAGAACCTAAACTCAATCAGTGCCCAACGACACCAAGCTTATCTAATCCGAATTCAACCCGCAGTGGATGGTTCTCTGTCGGTAATCACACGCGTTCCTACAACTACACGTACAGCGGCAAAAATCAAACATTTAGCATCTATTGTACATTGTCATGTGAGAATTGTTGTCAAAGGTATGCATGTTTATAGCTTTGATTAAGTTGCTTTGACAGTCTCTAACATAAAGTCTGTTTTACCTTATAAAGGTTAGCTACAGTCCGTAATGTAAACCAACGCTTTGTTTACATTTTAAATCCGTATATTTCCTAACTGAATATCAAGCATTTTTAGAATATTTGACATGCACGCTTTTACATGAATAGGAGTGAGAGTTTATGTTCAGAAATATTCAAAACATGCGACACTACTCATTGTTATGAACAGAACACATGCCAGTGTAACCCCCTTTAATTCGTAATTATATACATACAGGATGCATAAAAAAGTTTACACTTAGACTAAAGGCGATTCTCCATAAGCGCGCTTTGTTTTTCAAACCCGTCAGGGTCGCATGGACAGAATTTCAAAGCCCGCTTCGCCCGCGCGGGTGAAGCGCACGGTAAAGGAGAATCGCCTTAATCGCACGCATTGCTGGGACGAATTAAGATCTAGGTTCGGACACCTACACTGCGCTAAAAGGTTGTGAAGAATAGTGTTTTGGCAAATTAAATACTTTGCGCACAAAAATGGCTGACTAAAAAAATGTCAGTTTAACTGAAACATGAAATATGTTTTGTCACTTATTGAAGACTCAGACATTTTGTTCAGGTGTGAGTGACCGCGCGAAGTTAAAAGATTGAGTATTTTGCGTTTTAACTGTTAAAACTGATTTTCAGAAAATTATGATGATAAAGTTAGTTATAGTTAAAAGGTTTGCTATATTTTCAAACCCATAATAATTTTACTCGTTTTCTCTCTAAAGGTGTTTTAGAACCATGCAAACAGATATGGGAGAGTCAAAGGTATGACTATGAGTCAGAATATAAATGAAATTGGCAAAAGATGTGGAACAAGAAAAACAAAAGGAGTATATCTTTATAACTGAAATACGGCTTTTTTTTATTTTTGGTTCCTCCATGCCCAGTTAATCACTTTAAAAGCCCCGTTTACACTGCACTCAATTTCTTGGAAACGGCTATAATTGGCATGCACCTGTGCCCAATTTCATTAGTGCTCAGGCTACCAATAAAAAGGCTGGGCACGGGTGAAATAGGTACGGGTACCCATTTTAGCCGTGTCGTGCCGAAAAATTGAATGTAGTGTAAACGGGTTAAAGATAACAGAGGAAAAAATCTCTCACAGCTATGGCGTGTATCAATTGCTTAGAGTATTCTGAAATTACGCATCGCGACCGCAATTTTTTTAAATTATAGATCTTTCTTAACTCTAGGTCCTTCCGCTATACATTTAATGTTGATACGCACAAAGAAATTATAGTGGAGCAATGCCTTCACAATAGACTGTGAGAAGGTCTTGGTGTTGAAGGAGTGAATAATTGAGAGCTTTTAGTCCACGACGACGTATCGACAAAAGTACTTTCCTAGCTTTTTCGTTCAATAATTATATATTCCTGCGTATAACGATAGAGGGGAGTTGGGGACGTTATAGCTGCGCATTTTTTTGCTGCGAGGCACAGACCCACCAGCAAGGATGACTTGACGCAAGTGGTCGACGAATGCTGGCTGAGAGGTATTGAACGTGCAACATTAAAAAACCTATGGAATTAATGCCGGAAACAATAAAAGCCGTTTCAAGAGGAAAAAAGAGGGATACTAAGAACTGACATGTAATGCATGTTTGCACATTAACATAGCTACGTTAAATGAATATCATAACATCCCATAGTTGTTGAGCACCAAGTATTTTTCAGTTTACTTATTTACTTTTTTCTAGTTCACTTATCGGTAAGAATATCGGTAAGAATATTAATCTGTAGAATATTAATATATGCTGCTAAAACAATGAAATACAGTCACTGGACTGAAACACTTGCCTCCTACATATATATAAATATATATATATATATATATATATATATATATATATATATATATATATATATATATATGTATATTGTTCTATGACGTATTGACTATATTACAGTTCTGTGCTTTTAAATCTCGCGCGGTCCCTACGGCCTCATACGAACCGCCCGCGTAGCCAATCATATTCCAGGAAACGCTAATGCTAATTATTAGCAATGTTCTTTAATTAAGACGCCCTGAAAATCCGTTTCGTTCAAGTTAGCAATCAATGCAAGGAGCATATTTCCATTACCGACAAGATTAATAATACCTCATGCGGCTAGGGTGTATAAAAAAAACAATTAATATCTTCTTGGCAAATGTGCGCGGAAAGTTGGTGAAACTTAATGCAAACGTTATTAGTGTTTAAATTAACATGACATTTATTCTATTTTCTCTTTAGAAAAAGAAAGAAAAGTTGTTTTGGTTTTTGATTTTCTCATCTGTTGATTACAGTGCCGTCAGCTAATGATTTTTAACATGACATTTTTAGGAGATAAAAAAATCTTTTTCAACAAATAGGTAATTTTTTAACTAAAGAAAAAATGAGTGGAAACATATAATTTTAATAAAAATTCTTTATGAAAAGTTATAAACAAGCATGAGTATGAAATAGAATGTAGCTACGTTCATTGAGAACATTTTAAACAATACCGTTTACTTGTGTCTTTCAATTCAAAATTATTTTTATTTCAAACGTCTTTTTTATTTTACGAAGTTGGAATGATACTGCACAGTGGCAGTTGTAGTGACAAATCGCATTGCCAAGTTAGATCGTGAACGTTAAATTAACTCACTAGTATAACCTTTTTAATGAAACGTTATGCCAAATGTAGACACTAGCTTTCCCCAAAGGTTTTAAATAGTTGCTCTCTAGCTGTTCGCGTTAATGCTGCATGCATGAATAGAGGTCCTCTACCTGGCCCGTATCCTTCAGTATGCTTTAGCCGTTTCAAAGATCTCTTTTTCACATTGCTCAAAATATCTTCATTATCCTTGGAATCTTTTTTCTTGTTGATTTCGCTGTTTCTTTCTTAGTATTCGTAATTGATCGTAACGAAAAAGATAGCGGCATGTACATTTTACCAGAATGCATTGCGGGCATTAAGAATGATTGAGTAAAAAAAGGTGGCAAGAAAAACATCTAATGCCGTGAAATTTTAACAGAGCAAAGAAAATACCTTCCTGTTTTATGGCTATCCGTTAAAAGACGTCAGTTCGCTTTTTTAAACGATTTCCGCCTGCAATACATTCTGGTAAAATGTACATCCGCCATTTTTTTTGTTATGGTCAATTCTATACATCTTCTTTAATCAGTTAATTTTCAAAATTTTACCGTCAATTACCGTAACAAATTGAATGTCTGCTCGACTAGAATTGTAAAACTGCAAACCCTCATCCATGTTTCAGATAGTTTCATGCTGTCCTTTTTCAGGCTTTATGCTACAAACGCTGTATAGCGAAAACGTAAACCAAAAGAGATAACCATTATTATTTAAGACATTTTCCGATAGCATTTTCTATACGGAGTTGTTATTCCTATGACCAGAAAAGAACACTAGGATATAGGGCACTGTAATATTATAAATCCTATTATGGATGTTGAAAACGAAGAAAAATTAATGCAATTAACAAAATTTTGTAATGCAGAAAAAAGTTTATTTATTTCGTAATCATCGTTTACAATTTAAGAAGGTAATTAGACCATTTAGTTAAAGCAAATTTGTTCATCATTTAACCATGCACTTCACAGTAATATAGGCATGTTTGCTCTGATCCCGGTAGGCATTACTTGCAAATCGAAAGTCACGACCTTGGATATTTTCTCTTGTATCTCGTAACAGTAATCCATGATTTGAACCAGAACATTTCCAATCGCTGACTTGCTTTGTCACGTCAAGTGTAAACCATTGGCGACCTAAGGAAATCAAAGTATAAGATAAATGAAACGAACTTTTAAACTGCATACGAAACAAACTGCTGCATGATCTTTGAATTCTAACCTTGATTCGCTGACACCAAAGTAGAAGAGAGTGTAACTGGGTCTGCATCTGTGCCAAGATTCAGCCATCTCGCGTCCCAATTCCAAAAATATTTCCTTCTCGAGCTTGTCGCTTGGGACTCAGACCATGATTTTAGTACAGTGTGGGCTACAATGCGTCGGGTTACATCAGGGAGTTGTCGTAAGTAGCTTGCCTTGTGTGCATACACGAAATATAGATGAAGAGTTGCCTCCAAAGGTACGATACACTGTCCGGGAATGTTCTGGAACTTCATTAAACTTCTTTTCAAAGGAAATCCAGGGTGAGTGCCAACAAGTAAGAATTGAAGGTAGTTGAAATTGCTTCCGGCGCGTTCCAATGTCACATCTTCAGTTACTTTAAGAGTGTATGTGGTTGTACGCTGAGCTGAGAATGCAGAAAAGGCAAGCGAAAGGATGAATAGGTGTACCGCCGTGCTCATCGTGTCTAGAATACAGAAGAAACAAAATTCTAGTAAATTCTAGTGGAATGCGGTAAACAACATAAGAAATTATTTTATAATATAATATTTCTAGTGCGCGCGTGCTGATTGGTCGAGAAGCGTGTTTCCATTTAACAAATACATAACATTGAACCGTTGTCTGATCAGTTATAGATACACGATATGACATCATTTGTGATAAGAACAAAACAAAGTGCCCCGAAGCCGCCGTTCTTGTTCCCAATATTTTTGATCAAATTACTGTTGATTTTTGTAAATACGAATCTTTATTCTTGTTCAAAATGTATAACAGCGGTCAATGATATCAAGATACTTCATTAACAACCCCAAGCAAGCTTCGCGTAAGTCAAATACGTGATTATATAGTTGTGCGATAAACTACGTTTTGTGAAACGCAGGTAAAGCGTGTAGTTAACTAATCATTAATAATAATGGTAATTGCACTCAGTCTGAGAGGAGTGCAATTTGGAAAGAAATCAAACGCGTGATTACAAAATCGATTTGTAACTCAAGTTTGATTTCACACTAAAATTGCACGACACGAAATGCAATTTCCACTTTATTATATTCATTTTGAAATCATACAAAAAAGTAAACGATTCTAAACTATTTTTGTTGAAAAAACCGTAAACGGTGTGAAATTGAGTAATTTTCATCTATTTTTGTCAAGAAATTTTGCGGGGCATTTAAAAGTTCAAAATAATAAAATTTTGTGCCATTTTCCCTTGTATTTTGATTGGATAGTTACACTGAAATACTAAATCTGATTGGTTATTGTGCTGCAGAGCTTCAATCCTATTGGCCTGTTGCGGTCGATCCGACTCGACCGATAGAAACCGTAGCTATAGACGACCGCAAGGGAAAAATACCTTCGCCGTGGCCGTTCGCTTCCAAACGAACTTGGCGGAATGTACCATTATTATTGCTAAAAATGAGCGGATAATAATAATAACCTTATGCAGCTAGGGTGTATAACCAAAATTTATTTACTATTAATGATCTTTTAGACAAATGCGCGCGGAAAGTTTGTGAAACTTAATGCAAGCGTTGTTAGTGCTTAATGCCCCGATTACATGAACCGGGCTAGCCCGATATTATCCCAAGCAATTTTTGACGTTTCAATTATATAGACATGCAAAGTTTCAGCCCGGCTTACCGGGCTGGCCCAGTTATGTCAACCGCGCTAGCCCGTCTTGCCGGGATGAAAGTTCGCATGTAATCGTTTCAGCCCGGCAAACCGGGCTGGGAATTCGTCAACGTATGCACAGTGTTACAAACATGCATAAACAACAATGGCTTCGGCGTTTGCTAAATTCTCTTCGTTTGTTAAATTTCAGCCCGGCAAAATTTACTTATATAATCTCTTGCTAAATTTCAGGGCTAGCCCGGTTTGCTGCATTATATCTTCAAAACCAGTACTTTTATGGACTCTTCCAGCAATTAAGTATTGTTAAAAATTTGAACTTTAAAATATCAAAAGAGTACAAAATATTCAAAGGAAAAGACCGAACGTCGAATGTTATTTTTCTTGTTTCGTAGTGTCAGTGACATTTATTCCACCAAAATTCAAATTACACTTTAACTCAGGAACCCTTTATGAGCGATGTGTAATATAACCTTCCACGGTTGTTTCTGGAAAGGGAGGAATATTGTTTCCAACATCCTGGTGATTTTAGGATTGAGCTCACTCACTACATTCACCAATAACACCTCTCCCACCCCTGGCCCTCTCTCTCTCACCCCTGGCCCTACCATCCCGTCCTCTATGGGTAGATGTCTCAGAAGGGGACCCAACCTTCCCCATAATTTGGGAACGGCCGTTTTCAACATTATCTTCCCCCAAATCACCATCTCCTCCCAGATTGACATCATCGTCTTCCCTAGGTCCACTAAAAAAAGACAAAAAAGAATCATTAATATACAGTTCCATTGTGCCCAAACCATGTCACCAATCCCAGTACGAAGCATTATGCTTATACACTTTCAAAAGGTTCATATACCCCTGATTTCTATCGCAAAATGCGTTAGAATTCTCACAAATCTACCATATTTCAAGAGTCCTTTATATATTCGTCTTATTTGAAAAAATATATTACATTATAAGTCAACTATCAAACTTTTGCTGAACAAAAAGTCTACTCGTATTACGCGGGGTCATATTTCTCTAGATTTGCGGCAATATAAGAGGAAATTTTGTAGTTTTTTGCTTCTTGCCGTTTCTGCATGCTTTTTGCTCGAGGGACTCTGCGTCAGGTATTGTCATTCTCTCTTGTCGCGCAAAGGGGAAATATGATTCTTACTTAACATCGAATGGCCTCCACTCGTCATACTTTTTACTGTAGCCTTTATAGTGAATTCGCACCAAATTCCGTGCCTTATTGACTTCTGTTACTTCTACCTCATACAAAATGTTATCCTTTTTAACCTTTTTTACAACTTCAGCACTCGAGGAAACGCCAGACTCATATATTAAACGCTTTGGCGGACGCGAATCGCGCCTTGGTCTGTCTAACATGTTTGCTTTTAATACTACGCAAAAATTACGCAATTTTTGCATCGGCGGGGGCTTGGCACTACTTGGTAGCAAATGTTCAAAATCATGGCAAAAAGTTTGATATCAAAGAGTAAAGGCCTGGTCTATACTTATAGATGCGTTGTATGTAAATTTTTCATTCAGCCATGATGCGACAAATATCTGTCCGCTAAAGATGTGTAAATACTTGCCTTCGATCACTATCGGAATCTTCCAAAAGGTGGTTCAAGTAATTAATATTTTTCATCCGTGAATAAGCCATCGTTGATTTTCATCATAGATCTGCTCTAAAACCTCCCAAGTTTCATAGCCATGTTAGCAGTATGAGTACAAGCAAAAATGTAAATGCGTCACTTCGTGCGCGCGTCAAATCTTGCTGTAAACCAGGGCGCTTATATAGTAAATAATACTATATAAGCGCCCTGCTGTAAACTTATGAAATTCACGTAATTCCAGAGCATTATTATGTAACAATGTTGTGATCAACATCTGATACGCTTTGTTGTGAATACATGCGTTTCGGTTTCAAAACACTATAAATCACTCCAATAGTAACATAAACACAAAAAATTTAGCATATCCCACATTTTCAAACTTTCTTATCAAAATGGCAGTAATGTGTTCCACACTTAAAGCTATTAAAATTACGTATTTTTAGAAATTCAATGTCTTCGGTCATGTACTAGACAAAGCCACACAGCCACATGCAGGCTAATTATTATTCCAAGTACATTAACATGAGAAATACGCTTATATACCGTCGTACTTGTTTACTTCTGCTACCGTTGATTTAATCAATATAGTTAAAAAGTTATAGTTATAAACATGTTTTGTGCAGCTAAATTATAAGCTCTAGATCTATAACTATATAAAGGAATAAATGGTACTACACCTTTACGCTAAACAATGAAAAAGTCTTGTTCTTGCAGGAATGAATAATTGACCGCTGTTAGTCTACGACGACGCAACGACAAAAGTGCTTTCCCAACTTTGTTACCAAATTTATACCCCTGCGTACCGATAGGGGCCAACTGAAACGGATGCTATATAGCTGCGCAGTTTGCTGAAACGCAAGGTCATAGATGATGTGCATTTTTTTTGCTGAAACGGAAAGTATAGCTGTTCTTTTTTTTGCTGAAACGGAAGGTATAGATCATTTGCTGGAAAGTAATGTATAGCTGCGCATTTTTTTGCTGAAACGAAAGGTTATTGTGTTCATTTTTTTGCTGAAACGAAAGGTATTTATAGATGTGCATTTTTTTGCTGAAACGGGATTAAGATATAGATAGATAAGCTATAGAGACGCAAGTGTTTACTATAAGTATTTACGTAGGTATCTATGGTCTATCGCATTCCATTTCATCAACACGCACCTCATAATTTAGTTCCGGCGTCTGTGGACTCTCGTGCAAAAAAGAACTGCAAGAGGCTCAAAACTGGTTCCCATATTTATATATATATAGACCGTGAGAAAGTCTTGGTTTGAGTGAATAATTCAGAGCTGTTAGTCTACGACGACGTATCGACACAAACACTTTCCTAACTTTTTCATTCAATTATATATTCCTGCGTAACGATAGATGCGTGTTGATTTTGAACAGAATTGAACCTTCTAGTCTTCATAGCTTACTCCGGACAAAAGTTAATCAATATTTATGTACCCAGTTTGAAATGAGATTTGAAAAAAATGCACTCATATTTGAAGCTAGTGCGTGGATCCTTTGAGTGAATTAAAAACTTTAAGCTTTAAATTAGAACTTTTATAACGACCAATAAGAGGATTTTAACATAAACGGGCTGTCGGTCATGTACTAGACAAAGCCTCACAGCCTCAGGTTATTTATTATTCCAAGTACATGAGAAATGGGCGCTTTGTGTTTATACTGAGTCACCAGATCTTTCGGTCCATGCAATGAATAGTGTAAGCTTGTATACCCTCGTACTTGTTTACTTCTGCTGCCATTGACTTAATCCGAATATAGTTTAATAATTTCCAATGTTTTGCATGTGCAGCTAAATTATAAGCTCTAGATCTATAACTATATAAAGGAATAAATGGTACTACACCTTTACGCCAGGCAGTGAGAAAGTCTTGTTCTTGAAGGAATGAATAATTGACAGCTGTTAGTCTACGACGATGTAACGACAAAAGTGCTTTCCCAACTTTGTCATCAAATTTTATACCCCTGCGTACCGATAAGCGCCAACTGAAACAGATGCTATATAGCTGAGCATTTTTCCTGGAACAGAAGGTATAGATCATGGATGTGCTGAAGCGTAATGTATAGCTGGGCATTTTTTTGCTAAAACGCAAGGTCATAGATGTGCATTTTTTTGCTGAAACGAAAGGTATAGCTGTTTATTTTTTTCGCTGAAACGGAAGGTATGTAGATCATTTGTTGAAATGTAATGCATAGCCATGCATTTTTTTGCTGAAACGAAAGGTATAGTTTTGCATTTTTTTTGCTGAAACGGGATTAGGTATAGATAGCTGAGCGTGTTTTTCTTGCTGAAACGCAAGTGTTTACTATAAGTATATACGTAGGTATCTATGGTTATAAATGTTCATCAGAAATTATCATCAGCCATAGGTAATGAACTGAAATCTATCTATCTATCTATCTATCTATCTATGCTGCGACAACGTTTTTGTAATATATATAATTATATATACGTATAATTACATGCTGTGTCATATCTGCCTCCAACAATACTGTGGAGACACTTTTGAGAGTATGCATAGCCCTAGCGTTTCCCTTGTAAGTTCCTTATATAGCTGTATTTTACTTCTACTTTTACATTTATAATTTACGTTCCTTGCTATCATTACATCTTAATCGTTATTTTTTATTAATTTCCTATGTTTTGTCCAGCTAAATTATAGATCTTTCTTAACTCTAGGTCCTTCCGCTATACATTTTATGTTCATATACGCATAAAGAAATTATAGTGGAGCAATGCCTTCACGCTAGACTGTGAGAAGGTCTTGGTGTTGAAGGAGTGAAAAATTGAGAGCTGTTGGTCCACGACGACGTATCGACAAAAGCACTTTCCTAGCTTTTTTGTTCAATAATTATATATTCCTGCGTAACGATAGAGGCGAGTTGGGGAAGTTATAGCTGCGCACTTTTTTGCTGCAACGGGAGGTATAGCTGTTTACTTCATACTTTCTGTTGTAATCTGATATTTGTATTACGCTCGAAATTCAGCATATCAGGGGCGGCGGAACATAATATTTTTTTTTGGGGGGGGGGGGTCTAATGGGAATTTCAATGCTCTAGATCTTCGGAAAGTGGCCATTTCAGAGTCTTACTTGCCGCTTTCATCGTAGTTTTTCATGGGCAAACACAAACTGAAAACGGCACAGCGGGTGTAGTCATATCTTCTACATTTGAAAAATCATCTCTCAGATTCTCAAAATAATTTCCAAACAAAATAGCGGTCCGAAAATAATAAAAATGTACAATATAATAATAATATAGGATATCAAATTCTTATTAGCATTTAATACGCAGACGAGCATTAATTTGACGACTTCATGTTAACGTAGTTTGTATATTTGCTCTCCCATTCGGACATTCTTCATGAAATTTTTGGGGGGGCTAAAGCCCCCCTAGTCCCCTACCCCTGTTCTGCCGCCCCTGCAGTATATCTATATTTTAACTGGCGATTATGACTTTAAGTCCCATTTACACTACAGTCAATTTATCGGCACGGCACGGCTAAAATGGGTACCCGTGCCCAATTTTACTAGTGCTCAGGGTACCCATTTTAGCCGTGCCGTGCCAATAAATCGAGTGTAGTGTAAACGGGGCTTTAGTTTCTCAACAGCGTGTTTCGATATAATTAACGTCGCCAAGAAATCATTTTCATCGTAATTTTTGAGTCGAAATTCTAAGCACTCGTCACTTCTCAATTAAAACGGATTAAAATACAACCATGCAATTGACACAGTTTCCTTGCCTTTTGAATGTTGCAATTTGATATATGTATACGTAGCTATTTTACTGGGTACAATAATAATATATATTCAGCATGCACAGTTTATGGCTTATAAATCTGGGTACAGACCTACATAATTTTCTCCATAAACGATTTTCAGGACTTTAATTAGAAGCGAATAAATAAACATACCGAGATTCGAAGGTAAACAAAAAAATTATCGAAACTATCCGTGGACTCTCGGGAAAAAAACAGCCGCGGGAGGCTCGAAACTTGTTGCCATGATATTTTAGAAGGCCGCGAAAAAAATTCCAAATGTATCGCTACAGCGGGCACGGTTTGAAAAATTCCACAAGCTACATATATAGACAAGAGGTGTGAAAAAATCCAAAATTTTTGAAAAATAATTTTCTGATAGCAAATTTCCGTATTAATAGTCCACAACATAACCCGCTGTTTAAGAGACTTAATCAGATTACTCACAAGTGAGATGTGTCATTTTTGTGAAGGGTTGTTGACATTTGTAGTAACGCTGCTCACTAATAAACCCTTTACACATGACGTCACGTTAAGCATCCGGAGGACAAATTAACGTAGCATAAATTTTGCAAAAACGTAAATTTTGGGCAAAATACAGAAATATTTATTGGTGTGAGAAATTTTGCTTTATTAACTGCTTTGGAACCCTATATAAACCTTCACCGCTCGCATAACGATTATTTTTAGTGAAGCAAGGAAACATCTGGAGGACAACTTTCAATGATTATGACGTCACTATAAAAGCTTTCCTGACTTATTATTTTTTTAAATAGCTGCATTTTTTTTAAATAAATTTATTCTAAATATAAATCAATCGCATAAACTCCATCATCTGAATAATACTTCTAGCTAACTGGCCTCATTTTTATGGTTTTTCTTTGGTTCTTCTTAACTTGGATCGTAATTTACCGTCTGAGATTATGTTCGATACACTAATAATATGATTGAGAATATTTTGTCGACTATAACTCTAATTTCAGAACCAGTGGCGTAGCCAAAACGATAATTGGGGGGGCCAATATTTATATATTCGTGATACGCAGGTTTAATTTCTTTTCAAATCAATTGTCTTTACAGTCTGTTAACATGAATATATGAATATGGCCCCCCCAATTATCGATGCTGGCTACGCCACTGTTCAGAACTGCGTGCATACAGGGGCGTAACGAGAACGATAATTCATAATTGGGGGGTGAATATTCATATATTCAATTCTGCCCGACGGATTTCTATTGTAAGCTATTGCACTTACAAAAGAAATCCGTCTGGTAGAACTGGATATATTCACCCAATTATCGTTCTAGATACGCCACTGCGTGCATGTTTGGTTACAATTAAAAAAATTAAAAGTCGCTAAGATATTTATTATGAACTGTGACATATCGCATTCTATTCCATCGACACCAAATAATTAACCTAAAAAATAATCCTAAGTAGTCAGTTTCCAGACAGACCTCATTTCACCGGAATTTTATGAGCTGAATTGTTAAGCACTCGTAACTTCAACAGTTCACTGTCAAAACGGACAAAAATACGACCAATTAACAAAAAGTTTACGTATCTTTTGAATGTTGGAATTTGATAGATGTATTATTTACGAATTAAAAAACGAGTAGCGCGTGCCTTTATTGTGTAATAATGCACAATGGGGGAATGTTGGGAGAATACCAGAGAAGCTTGTAAAACACGAGGCGAGACAAGTGTTTTCAAGCTTCTCGGGTATTTTTTCAACATTCCCCCGAGTGCATTATTACACCATAAAGGCACGAGACGAGTTTTTTTTAAATTTTATTTTTAATATAAGAAAAAATTACAGGGCAACGACAGAATCTAAGTATTAGAGCGATACTCATTACATGTAATTTAGGATGTTGCAAACTGGGTTTGTTTTCAGCGAGCGACTTAACAGCAAGAAATTCAGCTCTATTTTCGCGAATTTTTCTTCGCCGACATTAGCGCTTTGGTTTTCAGAACTTGACTCATTTTAGTGCCTCACAATTATAGCCTCACATTGCACGCGCGTTAGCCCTTGGAATCACACTTATATTATAAACAATAGGAAGATAGGTGCTTCTCTGGCGTTACTCGTGTATGTAAATGTGCGTGGTGGTCACTGTCAATGCGTTTATGTGAATGATAAATATATTTACTATAGAATGCATGGAACAAACAGGATGAATGTAAAATAACGAAAAATAACAGGAAACGATGCTAAATGTATTAGCTAGTTGTTTTTGCCAAAATGTATCGAAACGGGCACGATGTCCAAAGTATTTTGGTTGTGCCAAGTTAGTGGTTTGAGGTAAATGAAGTACGTCAGAACGGTTTCCGAACAGGGACTATAACAAATGTGTAGAGCTGTATTATATAGCCAGATTGTTTTAGAGCGTTTTGAGATTGTTTAGATTGTTGTACGAAAATTGTTATGTAAAATTGTTGTAAATTGAAGATAAAATAAAAACCAGCGTCAGGTGCAGGTCAATTTACTGAACGAAGCCAGTGAATTCTGCGACAAACACAAAGGCCCAGCACGGATGATATGAGCCCCGTTTACACTACAGTCAATTTATTGGCATGCAAGGCACGGTTAAAATGGGTACGCGTACCCAAGTTTTATAAGTCTCCAGGCTATAATACAAAGGCCGGGCGCGAATATTTTAGCCGTGCCGATAAATTGAGTGTAGTGTAATTAAACGGGGCTATAATCGTGTGCGACGTTTTAACGCTCCATACGCGACCACATCTTTACAGCTTAAATAGCAGCGGTATTATCTTTAAAAATGCACATGTATTAAATATATTTTTGAACCTAAACTTAATCGAATCGCAATAAAAAGAACGGTTTATTCGTGACTCGTAGGGGAGTTGTATCATGTGTGGAAAATCAAATCACGCATCGGAAAAGTGGCCCAAGATTTGATAAGCGCACCACAACTATTGCGAAACAAAACTTTAGAGCCTAACACAAAAATGAATTTCAACTTTTTGAAATCCTCATGAAACTTGGATAACAAAAATACTAAACGAAATTACATTTGAGGCTTTTTAGCCGAGTAATAGCGCTTTGAAATTCAAAATTTTCAAATTTTAACGGCAAGAGATTTTCAAAACCTCGAGGCCAGGAAATTGGTTACTAATACGACACAGTAGGAACCGGTCTGGCATCTCGCGCTTTACGATCAGCATTTTAACTTCGGCAAAAAAGGATCATCAGTAATCCAGTTCAGATACGGAAAGCGATAGTTACCATATTCACCACTCAAGTTGGAATTATATTCTGCTGACGATCGAAGTATTTA